CATCTGCTTATACATGCCCCCCTTGGCCACAAGCTGCGCATGCGTGCCCTTCTCCACAATCCTCCCGCCATAAAACACACAAATAACATCGGCATCTTTCACAGTCGACAACCGGTGCGCAACAGCAACCGTGATCCTCTCCCCGTCCCGCGCAGCCTCCTCCAGCGCGCGCTGCACAATCTTCTCCGACTCGGTGTCGAGCGCGCTCGTCGCCTCGTCGAGCAGCAGGATCTTGGGCTGGCGGATCAGCGCCCGCGCGATGGCGATGCGCTGCCTCTGTCCGCCGGACAACTGCATTCCGCTGCTGCCGCATGGGGTCGCGAGGCCTTCAGGGAGCGACGAGACAAAGTCCCACGCGTTGGCTGCGCGGCAGGCCGCTTCGATCTGGGTGTCCGGGACGATTTCGTCCAGGGACTCTGCGTCGATTCCCAACGAAATGTTCTCGCGGATGGAGCCCTGGAAGAGGGTAGGCTCTTGCTGGACGAGGGCGACGATGTGGCGGTAGAGGCGGGGGTTGAGGTCCGATAGAGCCGCGTCGCCGTCGATGACGATGCTGCCTGTCGTCGGGTCGTAGAAGCGTTCGAGCATGGCGATCATTGTGGATTTGCCGCAGCCTGAGGCGCCTACCAGGGCGACGAACTGGCCCTTTTTGATCTGGAGATGTGTTAGGCATGATTTCTGTCAGGTACTTAATGGGGACTCACTTCGAGATCGACTGCGCGGAGGACATGCGCTTCGGGTCGTAGGGGGTACGAGAAACGGAGCTGCTGGAAGTCGACCGAGGCGCCGGCCTTTGGCGCGGCGTCGCGGTTCTGGGGCGTCTCCTGGATGGACGGCTGGAGGTCGTGCAGCCAGAAGAGGTAGTTTGCGGCGTTGATGCCCTTGGTCATGCCTGGGAGGGTCAGAGTGTGTGACATCACTAGCGGAGAAGATTCAACTTACTGCTCGAGTACTGGAACAGCTGCGACGCGGCCTGTCCGGAGAAGAATGTGCCCATGAAGGCGACGAAGAACTGGTACATTGTGATCTCGTTGAACGAGAGCAGCCGGCAGCCGTACCTGTTAAAAAGTTAGCAACTAGATTGGGAAGACGCAGCACCCAAACTCACCAGAACCCGAGGGCCATGAAAAAGTACTCAATGGCCTGGGTCAGTCCAAACGCAACAGTCATGACGAAAAGGGGGCCAGTCGAAGCCCTCACGGCGTTGTCGAGCTCGTCAGTATACCTCTTCAACACCGACTCCTCGATAGCGAGAGACGAAACGGTCCTGATCGCCGTCACGGATTCGGACGCGATCGCCGCGCTCGCAGAGTACCGCTTCGACGTCTTGGTATCCAGGCGCGAGTCAAGTCTGACCTTGATGTAGCCCGAGGACACCAGTGGCGGCATACCCGCGAGCACGACGACGAGACCCAGCTTCCAGGTCGTGGCGATAGCCAGGATACCGCACGCGATGACGTTCAGCGACGAGATGAGGATGAGGCCAATGTTGAAGCCCATGAGCTCGAGGATGGCCTGCGGGTTCGACTCGAGCCGACTGGCAAGCGCGCCCGTGTTGTTCTCGACGCGGTCAAAGAATTGCAGGTCCTGGCGGAGGAAATCGTTGAGGGACTGCCGGCGCAGCTTGTGATTGAGCCCCTGGGCGATGACGTTTGTGGCCCAGCCCATGACGAAGTAGCAGCAGAGCACGCCGAGGGCGAGGACGAAGAACATGAGGGAGTAGAAGTTGCCCTTGGTGATCATCTCGGAGCCCGTCATCGTGAAGACGTCGACGAGGTTGGCGATGACGAGGGACTGGCCGGGGAATGCGCCGGCGGCGACTATCACGGCCAGTAAGGTTGCGAGGTACGCCCACTTCAGCTCAGGCGTCTCGCGCACCATGCGGATGACGACGCTGATGAGGCCGATGGGCTTGTAATGATCAAAGTTGTCGCGCTCCTTCTGCGCCTCCATCCGCGTCTGGTCTGTCGTCCGGTACCGGCTCATGGTCTTCGTGAGCTCAATGCTCTCCTTCCCAGCAGCAGCCGCCGCCGTCACCGCTTCGTCGTCATCCTCCTCCGTCTCGGTAATGGATCCTTCCTCGGCCACGTTCAAGTTCTGCGCCCTCACGAGACGGGTATACGCGCCGCCCTGCGCCAACAGGCCCTCGTGCGTCCCCTGCTCGACAATGGCGCCCTTGTTCATGACTACAATATTGTCCGCCTTGCGGATGGTGGCGAGTTTGTGGGCAATGACAATCGTCGTACGGCCCTCGGCGGCCTTGTCTAGGGCCTGCTGCACGACGCCCTCGGCGTGGGGGTCCAGGGCGCTGGTGGCTTCGTCGAGAAGGAGCACCTTGGGCTCCGAAATGATGCTACGCGCGATAGCGACGCGCTGCTTCTGGCCGCCTGACAGGAGGCCGCCGCGCTCGCCAATCATCGTGTCGTAGCCTTCGGGCAGCTGGGAGACGAAGTCGTGGGCAAAGGCGATCTTGGCGGCGTCCTGGACGCGGCGGAGCTGCTCCTCGCGGGGCGAGGACTCCCACGGGGTTCCGACGAGGCCGTTGGCAATGTTGTCAAAGACTGTTCCCTGGAAGAGGACGGGTTCCTGCGGTTGTCAGAGTTGGTTCAAATGTAGGTGCTTCTCATCTCACCTGCTGCACGAGCCGGACATTCTTCCTGAGCCAGTTGAGGTTCAGCTGGTCGATCGGCTGGCCGTCGAGCTTGATGGTGCCCGATTTTGGATTGTACCATCGCTCAATCAGCCCGATGATTGTGCTCTTGCCGGAGCCGCTGGAGCCCACGAGCGCCGTCACCTTGCCCGCGGGCACGTGGAGCGAGTAGTTATCGAGGACCGTGACGCCGGGGCGCGTCGGGTACTCGAACGAGACGTTCTCGAGGTCGACGACGCCGACGGTCTCGGTGGGCTGGTGGCCCGACTTGTCAAAGGGGTCGATCTCGGAGACGCGGTCGATGAGCTTGAAGAGCTGGGCGGCGGCGGAGGCGGCGCGGGTGAATTCGATGATGTAGGGCGCTAGCATGGTCAAGCTCGTTGCGCCGATGACCACAGATAGGAGGACCCTGAAGCCTGTTAGCTGATGCTCCTGAAAGATGCTGCGGACTACTCACGTGAAAATGTCTCCAGACTCGGTAATCTCGCCCCGGTTCAACATGTGGATGCCCTGCCAGAACGCCAGGGCGAAGCCGGCGTAGATGACAAAGTACTCAAACGAAAAGAGCACGCCAAACAGGGCCGACTTCTTGTTGCCGATGCGGTGGGCGTCCTCGAGGAACCTGTCAAACTTTTGCACCAGCCGCGAGCGGATCTCAAAGGCGTGAACGGTGCGCGCGCTCGAGAGGATGCCCTCGGAAAAGGAGCCCGCCTGGGCGTAAATGTCGAGGATCTTTGTCTCGAGGCCGGCTTCAATGGTAGAGACGACGCCCATCACAACCAGGATCAGGGGCGCGATGCAGCACACGATGAGCGTGAGCTTCCACTGCGTGACGAAAGCGATGATGAAGGCGGTGACGAAGACGGCGAGCCCCTGGAAGGTCAGGGCGAGCTTCTCGGCGATGCCGACCTGGATGAGGCGGCCGTTGGAGATGGCTTGGGTGGCGATGGAGCCGCCGGAGCCGATGTCGTAGAAGGCAACCTCCTGGCGCAGGGCGGCGTGGAGGTAGGCGTGGCGGATGTTGCGCGTGATGCGGTAGGCGGAGAAGGTTGTCAGGGAGATGTAGCCGTAGGCGAGGACGAAGCGCGCGATGCCGAGGTAGACAAAGTAGAGGCTGAGATGTTAGCTTGTAGTGATGATGTGGGAATGAGCAGAGACGTACGCCAGCTTTGAGACTTCATTGCGAAAGTGTTGAGGGGTGGACTGGCCGGTGGTGAAGTCCTGGATGGTGGTGACGAAGCTGCCAAAGATCAAGTTTTGCAGGGCCACGCCGGCGCCCGCGCCCAGGGCGCATACTATCGCGATTGTTTGCAGGAGCTTCTCAAAGGGTCCCCCAAAGGAAAAGATTCTCTGGGAGGCGTCAGCATGTTTGCAACAGGTGAGAGTCGACAGTGATCATACCAAATAGGCCTTGAACGCGCCGCCTTCTGCCTTGACAGCTTCGTTTGGCGAAGCAATGGCGGCGACGGTATCCTCAGCCGGAGTGTGCTCCTTCTTTTCGGCCCCCATATTGTGCGGCTGACGGGTGGTTCACCCCAAGATCTGATCGTCTGTGTCGCGTGGTGTGTTCGTACTATCAAGAAATGTGAGCCGGCGGGTTGGCTTCTCTTGTAGATGAGATGGGGAAAACCAGACGATGCAGGTTATATCATGCGGTGCACCTCAAGGCGAGCCAGAAGAATGTTTTCAAACGCGCATATTGAAATTTGAAGCTCGGATAATGGAACACGCAAACTCGAGCTGACTGATCGCCAACATAGCAGAGTCTCCGTCATTGAAGCTGCTGCTGCGAGGCCTTGGCTTCTCCCGCGGACCGCCGTCATGGAAGCGAGAACGCCCCACTCTTCGGCATAGTGGACCCCCCGCTTCGGTGCAGGAACGAGTGCGATTGGTTCGACTCCAGCTTGGCAGGCTCACAGCGGGGGCCGCGGGTTCATCGCGCCCGGACGCCCACTCCGCTGCTTTGCTCGGGGCGCGGTGCTCTCGGGGCGCGAGACGTCAGACAATGTCCAGATTTCCCTTCATCCCAAACCATTAAAGGCTAAAGGAGTTCCCCCTCGATCGATGTGTGATGAGGTGTCACCGTGTCAGCAGGATGTTTTGGTTTGACCGAGTCCGACGTCGATGATGCCGATGACTCTTTCGCCGGACGGCGCGGTGGACATCTGAGACGCTACGGCGCCGCGCCGACACGTGGGAAGCGCTCTCTCCTCCGGGTTGAGCTACTCACGAGTCTCCGAACAGCTACCACAAATACCGTACCTATGGATGGCATGTCGCCGTGACCAGCAGTGCCCTAGGTTGAGCAGACAGGTTGGTTTCGTGTCATGTGTCTCGGTCCATTTCGAAGATGGCATCCTCGATTCCAACAAAACAGCAAGCGGCAGATGCCCTCCATATAGTCCTGCCCGGCGCCATTCTGACCTTTGGCGCCGGAAGCCGAAAGGACAAGCGGACGCCGAACAATGGAAAGACTCCGTACTTGCGCCGCCCATACTCCGTCCCCGTCAGAGATGCTGGTCCATGCCTCTCCCTGCCTATCACGGGCATTCACAGATCCAAATGCGTCCATGCCGGCGATGTGGCCCTGGCGTTGCCGGTGGGATACGTTTGAATAGACTACAACGGCGGCGCTAGAACGTGACAACACTGCGATTCCGTGATCGACACACTTTCTATTGGCGAATCATAGCTCTACAATTCCCTAGCTAGTTTCTATCTAAAGCCAGTTACCCCAGTTCAAATGCGTCTCTACAGCGGCCTATCCGGTGCGAACCACCGTGTCTGCGCCTGGATGAGCCCTGAATCGCAGAGATGTGCCGTCACCCGGACCCCTGAAAGGGTCCATGGCAAGGGGGTGAGCACGGAGATCTGAATTACTAAAAATCGTGCATGCATTCTGCAACGAAGTGCCTTTGCTCCCACACCTCATATGGGTGCTAGAATCCCTTCTTTTTTCTCTCTCTTTTCCCCTTTCCAAAATATATCCTAACCGCGCATGCACATCGTACCCGCAAGGTGATCAATTCAAAGACGGGCAAGCCTCCAGCCTCAACTGCGGACAACTAGCGGCTGAGTCACAGCCACAGGGGCCGCCCTCTTGCTCCATAAAATCCACCGGAAGCGGAACCCGCGCACGCCGTTCCCGTCCTTCTTAGTTGCCCCCGGGCCGCGACCTCATCCCGCCGCGAAAGTTGGGAAGAGGTTCCGAACCATCTACGCCCGCTTGCTTTCTCGTGATCCCGTCCTCGTTCGGGCCCCGAATTCACCCAGCCCCGGGCACAACGTCTCGCTTGGCATCTCTCTGTACAACACGACAATTCTAGATTTCGGATCTCTTCGATCCCGCCCCGCCGGATCCCCCTCCGAGAGTCTTGGACCCTTGCTCCTCGGGTACGACCTACCCTTAAAGTGAAGCCATCTGATCGCATTTGGAAATATCTAACCGAGCCGCAATGGACACCGGATCTTCTGCCGGGGCTGGTGCGGGTCTCTCCGCTGCTGGCGGCGTGGGCGGCGCCAATCTCCCCATCAAACGAGCGGTAAGTAGACCCTCATACTACCCAGTCGTTGTAAATCACGCCGAAACTAACTTACACATTTAGTGTGATGCTTGTCGTGCCCGTAAAGTACGTTGTCTCTCATCCTTCATTGGCCCATGTCATCATGTCACTCGACACCATCCATTGGACGTAGGGCTGACTGTGTGCTTCGTAGATCCGCTGTGATAGAGAAGAACCATGTGCTCACTGCCAGCACGCCGGCATCGAGTGTAAGAACACATCGGGGCTCAAGCCCAAAGAGAAGAGAACTCGCATTCTCATCACCCCTCAATAGTTAGTCTCGCCTTTGCTCCCTTGCACCAGGTCACAACTCACACATCCCAGTGAGAAGAAGATCGACCTAATAGACCGCCGCCTCGACGGCGTAGTCCGCCTCCTCGAGGACCTAAAACTCCAGTTTCCCCTCCAAGCACCATCAGCAGCACCGTCAACCGCACCATCGGTCTCGGGATCAACCGCCACACCCGGCGGGGGAGCAGGAGGGGCAGTATCAGGGGGCCCGCCGGCGCCCATCCAGCTCAAGACGGTGGCTTCATCGTCCATCTCAACAACACCAGCCAGCACTTCCACGCAGCAGCAGCACACGACGGACCCCCTGGTCGAGGGCGAGTCCTCCATGACGGCCCAGTCCATCTTCGCCCACGACTTCCTCCGCAAGACCGTCGGCGACGGCTCCTCGGTGCTCGAGATGCGCGAGACCCTCGACGCCCTGCACTCTCTCGTCGAGGCGCTCCGGCACCAGCCCGCGTCGCACGAGCTGACGTACCCGCAGGCGAAGCCCGTGGCCCGGCCGGCGTTTGGCGAGTGCGAGATGCCGCCCGTGCAGTCCGCCGTCAACATCATCCGCGAGGCAAAGGGTGCGTAGTCTCAGGTCACTATGCAGTTCAGGAAAGTCAGACTAACGTCTCAAATAGCCCAAAAGACGCTGGGCCTCGAGTGGGTGACGACGTTCCTCCACCCGGACCACTTCACCGACCTGGTCCTCAAGGTCTACTTTGCGCCGGCAGAGTTCAACGAGGCCGAGTTCATCATCGTCAACGCCGGCCTCGAGAGCCTGTACACCGACATGACGCAGTCCAAGACGGCGACGGCGCAGCTCAGGGAGGAGTGCGCCAAGATGGGCACCCTCTGCCGGGGGAACCTCCAGACCGCCCTCGCCAACCTGCCCCTGCACCTCCCGGCCACGATGGACATGATTGTTGCCCTCTTGTTTGGTGTAAGGTTCTCCCCCACGCATTCTTCTTACATCCGTAGCTAACATCGTCAGGCCTACCACGCAATGGAAGTAGCAAAACCAAGCCTCGCCTGGACCCTCAACGTAGCCTCGGCCCAACTCTGCCAAACCCTAGGCTACCACCGCGCATCCCCATCATCGTCGCCCCCATCCACTTCCACTACAACAGGCACGGCAACAGGCCCAACCGCCGCAAACCCAGACGACGAGGAGTACAAAATCTTCCTCTTCTGGTCCGTCTACTTCATCGACAAGTCCCTCTCCCTCCGCCTCGGCCGCCCCTCGACGATCCAGGACTACGACATCACGGCCCCCTACCCCTCGAGCGCCAGCAAGATGCACGGCGCCCTCATGAGCTACTTTTGCCTGTGGGTCGTTGTCTCGCGCATCCAGGGGAAGACGTACGAGCAGCTGTACAGCCCCGAGGCGATTGCGCAGCCGAGCGCCGTGCGGGAGGCGAGGGCGAGGGGATTGGCGGCGGAGCTGAGGAGGGTCACGGACCGGACGCAGGAGACGCATGTGAGTTGCTGTGATCGCTCAACCCGTGAAGTTGTTGTGAGGTTGCTGACTATTGTGGCCAACAGTCGCAGTATTTGAAGTCGGCCATCGAGGCGGTGGGAGAGAACACGATGGAGTTCTTCAACGTGTCGGACGAGGTGCTGAGACTATCGCTGATGACAATCATCTATCGCGCCGTCCCCTCGCCCCCCGGGTCCGCGACGACGTTTGGCACAGAGTGCATCAACGCCGCGAGGGCGACGCTGCAGCGGCACGAGGATTGCATGGCCATCATGGCGAAGGATGCGTACTACCTGTTTCCCATGTACATGAACTGGTGCGTCCTCTCTCACATTCCACTCTCCACGGATTCGGGCGTTCACACTAACAACGCCCAGGACCATCCTCTTCTCCCCCTTTGTCCCCTTCATCGTAATCTTCTGCCAGGTAATCGAAACAAGCGACACCTCGGACCTCGCCCGGCTCCAGGGCTTCGTCGCCTCGATCCAGGGCGCAAAGGAGTTCACCGAGGCCTCGGCGCGGCTGTGCCGCCTCTTTCAGGTGCTTTACAATGTCGCGTTCCGGTACGTCGAGATGCGGAGCCAGGGCAGCAGTGGGGGCGGCGGCAACGGGAACAACAACAGCACGCAGCAGCAGCAGCAGCAGTCGGAGGAACAGGGCCAGGAGATGGACAAGTACCTCACGGCGCTCGGGTTCCCGCCGGCATCTGGGCATCCGCAGCAGCATGCACAGCAGCAGTCGTCGGACGTGGGGTCGGAGCAGATGTCGGGGATGACGGGCGGAGGAGCAGAGGACGGGATGAACGGTGCCGGCGTCGCGGGGTCGGGTGCGCTGAACCAGATGATGTGGATGGGGAATGCGGCGCAGTTGGAGGATTGGTTTTATAGCAACCAGCAGATGATGGGGCTTGTTGAGGATGATGACTCGTTTTTGCAGTGAGCGGTTTTGGGTGTAGACATTGTTTGGCGATGGAAAGGGGTTGGACGTGGCGATAGACACTGGGTTTGTGACGGGGCATCATGGCCAACGGAAGACGAGGTTCATGTTTAAAAAGCCTACAGTGGGAAAAGGAACTCTGGACTGGAATCAGAAGAATACCATACAGTGCGGCTGGGAGTAGACCCAGCCCACACACATACATCGTCGACCCGTCCCGGTCACCCCCTCCCAAGCCTCATCACCATCCAGGTCAGCCTCATCTTGCTCAGTAGCCAAGCCAACCACAACCTCGACGGCCAACGACGGCCAGCAACCACAGCCTTATGACCAGCGCATACTCCTCATACCACCAGCAAACGGGGGTCCAACTCCCTCGGGCGCCGTGGCCCAGTGGAACACTCAGCTGGGGACGGGGGATTTCCACAAATCTCTAAGGAGATGGACCTCGACCTCTTGAGTTCGACTTCACTTTCAGGGTACTCTTTTTTTTTTTGGCACATTTCGAGTCTTTTCTGTTGTGTTTTGGGTTGCAACTGAGTTGGTTGTGTCAGCTGGTTGATCTGGTTGTGAACCATCGTCAGCTTGGAACTCCCTACTTGTCAACGAAGTTTTGACCATTTGGCGTCGCCGAGGAATTGACGACGAGTCGATTTGAGCCCTTCAGATGATGGGAAAAGGCTCAAAAAGTCCTTGGAGAAGACTTTGGCTGACGCTAGGTTGTGGCTAGGAGATATAAAAGACTATGGATTTGGAGTGCTAGAGCAACTCTATCGATTGAGAAACTACACGCTGCATGGATCAGATGGCATTGGGATGTTGTCAAGACAACCGGAAGTTAAATCAAACTTGATTGGAATTCTCTTCTAAGGTTGCCGAACGATCGCTCCCCTGTAGACGATGCCATTGGTACGAATGGTGTCGAGTATGGTAGCTCTCCACTGACCAATGACCAACCGGTTCAAAACATCATCTACCCCCTTCGGAACGTCGGGCCTCATTGGTTGTCTGTCTGTTCCATCTGCACTCGCTCCCTCTCTGCTTCGTCGCTCCGAACCAGCCGATGCACGTCTGTCTGCGCTGCCTTCCCTTCTGTGCGCTACATGCATGCCATGCAATGCAAAGTCGCGGATAGCGTTCTCGTGTTTCGTGCATGTGACACGTTCGTCTTGACTTTTTGGACACTTTGCTATGGATCAAGTGATGACAGCAAGACTTGGAGATTGATCTATATTCCAGCCTTGGGTTGCCACGATGCTAAAAGAGGATTTGGTACATCACATTTGCCAGACTTTAAAGATGCTGGCCAAAAGTCGTCTACATCAGAGCCGGAAGAGGCGGGATCTTGAAAAAGCCAGCTGCATGTCACTGAGACGCGGGAAACAAACACGGGACAGGAACATGGGCCAAGGGTGCTCGGCCTCCGTCTGGGAGAGCATTAATCAGCGCTCCATGAAGTCTATCAGTGTTTTAACAATCTCTCATCGGACGAGAAGGAAAACTGGTCCCGATGGATAAAATGGTAAAAGGCACCTCCAGCTTGGGGAGAGCAGGGCTGGATCATTGCAGGCTTATCGGGCCTTATCGACTTATCGCGAGCTCGAAATGGCGGGGGATAAGACTATCCCCCGTGTTTTAGCGCCGTGTTTTTAGTGCCCGCAGCCCCACACCCCGCACTGGACGACTGGAGAAGAAGGGAAAAAAGGGGGGCGAGTACATACTACGTAGGGAGTACGGGGTACGGGGCCAAGCTGCAGCTCCTTTCCCTGCACGGAAGCATGCACCAGACCACTTCCACCAACACCTCACACCACCAATGACCACATCCGTCGAAAGGTACCTGTCCAGTGCCTTTGAACTCCTACACAAGATGTACTCTACTTAGCGTCTGCGACATTGTCTTGCCTGAATTGTCTACCAGCTGTCCTCCCAGAAAGTACCGCACTTTCGTACCGCACATGCCAATGAGGGGAACCTTGGGACACGGCTGCGAAGGGGGGTAAAAGCCAACTTGGCAGACCGCGCAGACTACTCCAAACAACATCCTGCTCGGGTAGTGATTGGAGGAGCTTGGAGCTCGCGCTGCGACATCTGCGACACGCCTGAACCGATTCTGCACTTCCCGTCTTGGGATGCAACGAACCTGGGGGGAGAGAACAAGGATCCGGATGCGCGGGTGATGGGCGAGGGAGGGGGGGGGGGGGGCAGCAGCCATCACCTCAGAGTAGTGACGAAGACGAGGACGAGCATGGAACAAGTCCAACGGCCGACCAAAACGTGACACAGTACAAGCTCGTTGTCTCGTTGTTCTCTTCTCTGGCTGCAAAAAGTCAATCCCAACTCTATCCAATTCACATCTTCCAACTTCCTCCTCCCCTCTTCTTCCTCCCATCTTCACCTCTCCCTGTTGCGTACCGTCGCCTTCCCTTTGTCACAAGTCGACACGGTAGCTTGGAGCCGTTCCCGTTTCCCTGCCACCCAACCTCGTCGACCTCAGGCAGTGGTCGCGAGCAGATGAAAAGGCCCTGCCCGACATCCTCGTCGCCCCGGCTTCGTTAGCCTGGATGCTCGAAGCCTCGCCGCTGCAATGGCGAATCTCTCCGTCCTGCGGCCGACTCTGGCCTACAACGTGTGCTCCTCCCGCGCTTCTCCCGGCCGGCTCGTCGGCTCCCGCGCGTGGCGGAATGGTCTCGCAGGTAAGCTACCGAGGTCTCGGTTCTTGCAGGAGCAACCAAGAAGAAGAACCTCGCCCAATTGCTTCGGCTAACGCAGTCTACTCGTTTCCCTACATGCAGCCGTAGCACCGGCATCTGTCGTCGTCGTCGCCGGCAAGTGGCAATCCACCCACGCGCGAGCCCGCCGCCAGACGAAAGCTCTCGTCCCGGCCGTCTCGCCCCGGCCTCTCCAGCTCATCCGCCATGCGTCGGTCGTCTCGGCGGGTTCCAGTGCCAGCGCCGGCCCCACTGCTACACCGGCAGCAAGCTACTCAACAGCCGCAGAACCGCAGTCCGTCCCCTACGCGCAGCTCACCGTCGGCGTGCCAAAGGAAATCTACCTCAACGAGCGCCGCGTCGCACTGACCCCGCAGAACGTGGCCCTCCTCCTCAAAAAGGGCTTCGGCAAGGTCCTCGTAGAGCGCGGCGCCGGCGCCTCCGCCGATTTCCCAGACGAGGCCTACGACCGCGCCGGCGCGACGCTCGTCGACCACCCGCAACAGGTCTGGTCCGGCGCCGACGTCGTCCTCAAGGTCCGCGGCCCGATCCCGTCCGAGATCGACCTCATGAAGGCGCACCAGACCGTCATCTCTTTCCTGCAGCCCGCGCAGAACAAGCCGCTCGTCGACAAGCTGGCCGCGCAAAAGGCCACCTCCTTCGCCATGGACCTCATCCCGCGCATCTCCCGCGCGCAGGTCTTTGACGCCCTCAGCTCCATGGCCAATATCGCCGGCTACAAGGCCGTACTCGAGGCCTCCAACAACTTTGGCCGCTTCCTCACGGGCCAGGTGACGGCCGCGGGCAAGATCCCGCCCTGCAAGGTGCTCGTCATCGGCGCCGGCGTGGCCGGTCTCAGCGCCATTGCGACGGCGCGGCGGTTAGGTGCCATCGTGCGCGGCTTCGACACGCGCCCTGCCGCGAGGGAGCAGGTGCAGTCGCTCGGCGCCGAGTTCATCGAGGTGGACATCAAGGAGGACGGGTCCGGCGCCGGCGGGTACGCCAAGGAGATGTCCAAGGAGTTCATCGAGGCCGAGATGAAGCTGTTTTACGAGCAGGCGCGCGAGGTCGACATCATCGTCACCACCGCCCTGATCCCGGGCAAGCCCGCGCCCAAGCTGATTACCAAGTCCATGCTCGAGGCCATGAAGCCCGGGTCCGTGGTTGTGGATCTGGCGGCCGAGGCGGGTGGCAACTGCGAGAAGACGAAGCCGGGCGAGCTGTACGTGTACAAGGACGTCAAGATCATTGGTGAGTTGAATGAAACCCCCCCGAGGAAAATCCCATTGACTTACACACTCAGGCTACACCGACCTCCCTTCCAGACTGCCAACGCAGTCCTCGACGCTCTACTCCAACAACGTGACAAAGTTCCTGCTCTCCATGGCTCCCAAGGACAAGGAGTTCGGCATCGACCTCGCAGACGAAGTCGTCCGCGGCGCCGTCGTCACCCTCAAGGGCGACGTCCTGCCCCCGCCGCCCCGAAAGGCCCCGCCCCCGGCCCCGCCGCCACCGCCCACCGTCGCGCCCGAAGCCGAGGCCGTCGCCCTGACCCCCTTCCAGAAAACCTCCCGCGAGGTCGCGACCGTCACGGCCGGCATGGGCACCGCGCTGGCCCTGGGCAAGATGACGGGCCCGCTGTTCATGGGCAACGCCTTCACGTTCGCGCTGGCCTCGTTGATCGGATACCGCGTCGTCTGGGGCGTCACGCCCGCGCTTCACTCGCCCCTCATGAGCGTCACCAACGCCATCTCAGGTCAGCAGTCTCCTAGCAAAATGTAGGATCCCATAGCTAACAGCCCAAGGCATGGTCGGCATCGGCGGCCTCTTCATCCTAGGCGGAGGCTACCTCCCCCAAACGATCCCCCAAGCCCTCGGCGCCGCCTCCGTCCTCCTCGCCTTCGTCAACGTCTCGGGCGGCTTCGTCCTCACAAAGCGCATGCTCGACATGTTCAAACGCCCCACCGACCCGCCCGAATACCCCTGGCTCTACGCCGTGCCGGCAGCCCTCTTCGGCGGAGGCTACATCGCCGCCGCCGCCACCGGCGCCGCGGGTCTCGTGCAGGCCGGCTACGCCGTCTCCTCCGTCCTCTGCATCAGCTCCCTGTCCAGCCTCGCCTCCCAGGCGACCGCCCGCATGGGCAACATGCTCGGCATGCTCGGCGTCGGCTCCGGCGTGCTGGCCTCCCTGCTGGCCGTCGGCTTCTCCCCGGAAGTGCTCGCGCAGTTCGCCGGCCTCGCGGCCCTGGGCGGCGTCGCGGGCCTCGTCATCGGCAAGCGCATCACGCCCAC